CGCCCTTTCTTTGCCAAGTGCGAGGGCGAGGCCACCCGCGCCCTCCTCTTCTCGGGCGTCCGTGCCGCGGGGGGGACTGGATGCATCGATGGCGCGTCACGCGCAAGGATGCGGTTGATAACGGATGGAGCAGCGTCCAAGATGTGAGCAAGACGGTTCCTGCAGTACCATCCAGCGTTCCTATCGCCACTCGTCCAGCAGTCGATCCAGTTGCCCCGGGGAGGTAGGTTGCACTGCTCTGTGTCCTCCATGCCAGGAGTCGGTCGCCAGACGAAGCGCCCGACCGCTGGCTGCCCGCGTTTCCAAGTGTATAGCAGCTTGGGCTCTGGGCAGCCGTCGCACGTAGCACTGTAGATCCCAGACTTGAGTCCCTCTGTGCCGAAGCGGTCGTCGTCAGGTCGCGTTGGGGGATGTGGCGCGCCTGTCACCTCGGGGTCGTTGGCAGAGTCCGGTGTGAAAAGGAGGTCGCGTAGCAGGCAGTCGGCGGTTGGGTTTGCGATGTTGGCAAGCCCGGTTGGGAGGTGCACAGGCGTTGTCAGACTGAAAGCTGTGGGCCTGCTGGGCATGCCATTCCGCAGGTTGGCCAGGTTTTCGCGCATCGAGTCTCCTGCGGGGGCGTCGGCACCTTGCTTCTCGAGGCTCTCCACCCAGCACCCATTGCACAGCCAGCGGCAGTTGAGTCCCTCGTGCCACCCTGCAATCCTCGCCGTTGCCAGACGTTGACGCATATCGTTGTCCGCCCAGGTGCCCTCGATGATTGTGGATGGGGCCTCTCGGCCAGTCGTCGCAGCAGAAACTGGCAGTGTTCTGTGACGCCGAGAAGCGCCAGTCTCCTGTTCGGAGTCTTTTCGGTGTCATTGTGGCGCCCACTTTCGCTGCAGTGTGTTCAGGTGTGAGAAGGTCCTTTTGGTCCATCGCTCACCCAGTGCCAGCACGGCGCAGCCTCTGGTCCGGCGTGCGCCCGAGATGCTTGTGATTCCCTGTGATGGGTTTGTAGAGCCAGCTGATGGTGCAGCTGGTTGGGATACTTTCTTGGTTTGCCGGCTCGCGAAGCAAGTCGAAAGCCGCCCAAGCACTGGCCGGGCCGCGACTAGGCAGCAAGAAAAGGGGTAAGCAAAGTGAGCGCGCGGGCAGCCACTCAGCGAAAGAAGGGCCAGACATTACACTCCTAACTCGGTGGCGTGGAGACCCCGGTGGCGACCATCAAATAGGCGCAGCCAACATGGCGCGGCGGCACTGGTTGGGGTACTTTTTGTGGTCAGCGGCCCCGAGACTACGGCCAGGGGTTGAAGGCGACGTCCGGGCCACGGGCGAGGCGAATTAGCTACAACAGGCGCAGGCCGGCCGGCCCGCTCACAAAGCAGCCACGAAGCTGAAGAGAAGCTGACGCCGCAGGTGACCTGATCCTGAGAGCTCGTGCACGTGCACAGACAAAACGTCATGGAATTCAGCGCCTACCACAGTCTGAGACGTGAACCGAGAAACCAAGCCCGTTTTGAGACGTGAACCAGGATGACCAAGTCCGAAGGCTGAACCACTCCGTGGCGACACCAACACCCGAAAGACCACCCCGCAGGGCATGGGGGGCCCAACCGACTGTGGGCCACGCAGCGCGTGCCGGCACGGCGTTCGGCCTCAGTGAGGGGGGGAGGACCAGCTGGCGTGGTGAGCATCGCCAGCGGGGGGGGTGAGGGGGGGCTGCGCTGGTGGTAGTGCTGCCTTCTGCGGCGTCATAGGGCGAAGCGCCAGGGGGAGCTGCGCTGTGGAGGACACGGGGGCCAGGAGGCAAGTCTGGCCCAGTCCGCCGCGCGGCGCTGCCCCCCAGACCCGTGAGCCCACGCGCGCCACGTGGTCCTCCAGGGCCGAAGCAAACGACGCTGAGAGTGATGAGAGTGATGAGCCAGACCACGAGCAGCGCGGAACACGGGCGGCCCTGGGAGGCGGTGCACCCATACCGACGTCCGACAGCACGTCTGGCAGGCCCCGAGGCCAAGGGCGGGGGGCACCCGCCTGGCCCGAGAGGGGAGAGGCGAGGGGAAGCGCCGCCTCTCCCCTCGGCCTGGCCCCGAATCCGAGGGCTAGGGGCCATGGTCATCTCTTGGGTCGTTGTCGGGGGTCGCCGCTGATCGCCGCTATGATCTCTCTTTAATGTCTTCGGGGGTCGCAGCTGATCGCCGCTATGATCTCTATTTGTTGGTTGGTGTGTCCGATTGTTGGTCCATGTCATTTACTCGGGGGTCGCAGCTGATCGCCGCTGATCTCTATTTGATGGTAGGTGTGACCGATTGTTGGTCCTCCAGGGACGCAGCAACCGCAGCTGGTGTGGAACAGCAGAGTGACAAGACAGCGGGGGCGGTCGGTCCTCGAGGGTCGCAGCTGATCGCCGCTTGAGCCATTACTGACAAAGAGGTGCCCAGGCAAGTCCGCAGAGGCATGCAGCCGACCCCAGTGCAAGAGCAGCGTACACTGCCACTTCCAGCCTCCGCCACATGCGCTGCGACACCCGCAAGGCCCCCAATGAGAGGGGCGGGGGGAAAGCCGCGCCCCCCCTCGGTCTGGCCCCCGCACTCGTGGGACAGGTGGCGCGCCCGCCGAGCTAGGACAGGGCCTGCTGCCATTGACCGCTCTTCACGCACACTCTGATCCCACCGCTGTAACTGGTCGCGTTGGGCCCCGATGCAGCCCGCTGCTTTTGTCGGGCAGCGACAGGGCCTGCTGTCAGCGCCCACCCTTCTCACACCTGATCCCGGCGCTGCAACTGATGACGGTGGGCTCCAACTCTTAGCTTCCACATCCCGGGAATAGCGCCGGAGCATGTGGATCTCTATTTATTGGATGGTGTCTCCGTCTCCGTTGCACCGACAGCATCGGGATGCAAGAGCACCCTGAGCCCCAGAAGGCGGACACGAGCCCGAACGGCAGACACCCCAGGGAGGACAACACTGGGATGCAAGAGCCCCTTGAGAATCCGCGGGACACACACTCGGATCCCACTGCAGTCACAGATCACGTTGGGCACCAGGGCCACCTGCCTCATTTTGCTGGGCGGGGCTGAGCAGCTGTCAGTGACCACCCTACACGCACCTGTTCTCAGCGCTGCAACTGATGACAGTGGGCTCCGTGAAGACGAAGCGAGCACGGGGGGGTGGCGAGTGACGGCCCTTGGCTGCCAGAACCGGGATGCAAGAGTACCTTGAGTCCCCGAGGGAGGCCCCAGGCCCGTGGCCCCGGCAACGGGGGTCGCACCTGATCACCGCAATGATCTCTATTTGATGGTTGGTGCCTCCGTCTGTTGGTCCGCCAACTCTCTTCCATTTCCACGGGGGTCGCAGCTGATCGCCGCTAGGATCTCTATTGGATGGTGGGTGTCTCCGAATGTTGGTCCTCCAGGGTCGCATCAATCCGACCAGATGTGAACCTGCAGGGTCACCAGACAGTGGGGGTGGTTGGACCTCGGGGGTCGCAGCTGATCGCCGCATGAGTCTGTCTTGACAGAGAGGTGACCAGGCATGGACGGCAGGGGGGAGGCTGAGGCCCACTTCCTGCCACCAGGCAGGAAGTGGGCCGCAGCATCCCCCCCGCCTGCCTGGCGGCAAAGTGCCGGCTGCCATTGTCCGCCCTTCACGCACACACTGATCCCACTGCTGTAACTGATCATGGCGGTCATGGCGGGCTCCAATGCCGCCTGCCGCCTTTTGCTGGGCAGCGACAGGGCCTGCTGCCAGTATCCACCCTTCTCTCACCTGGTCCCAACGCCGCAACTGAAGACAGTGGGCTCCACCTCTCAAGCTGCTGCACCTGCCGCTGCTGCTGCTGCTGTTGCAGTTGGTGCTGCTGCGGTTGAAGCTGCAGGGGCTGCTGCTGTTGCAGCTGCAGCTGCCGCTGCTGCTGCTGCTGCTGCTGTTGCTGCTGCTGCCGTTGCGGCTGCTGCTGCTGCGGCTGTTGTTACTGCGGCCGCCGCTGAGCCGCTGCTGCTGCTGCTGCTGCAGGCGCAGCTGCAGCTGCTGCCGCTGCTGCGGCGCGGCCGCCGTGGCAGCCGCCGCCGCCGCCGCGGAGGCCGCCGCCGCGGCGCCACCGCCGGCCGCCGCCGCGCGCACGCCAGCCTCCAGGCGGGAGGCGGCGGCGGCGGCGGCAGCAGCAGCGGCCAGGGCGGCTGGCCAGGCAGCCCGCCGCGGGCGGCGGCAGCCGGGCCTGCGGCGCCACCGCCGCCCGCCGCCGCGCGCGCGCCAGCCCCTGGGGGGGGGCGGCGGCGGCGGCGGCGGCAGCAGCAGCAGCCAGGGGCGGGCCCGGGCAGGCGGCCCGCCGATGGGCGGCGGCAGCGGAGGCCAACGCGGCAGGCCGGGCGCGGCGCGGACCGCGGCGCAGCGTACGGGCGCCCCCTCGAGCGGCGGGAGACTGTCCCGGAGGGGGCAGGCCCACCAGACGGCTTGAGCCAGGCTTCGGACTGGTTGGGATACGCAAAGCGTCAAACATTTTATACATTATACCACGAGCCCGCCGCGGGCGCCGATCTTTCGTTAAAGCAAGGGTCGCGGGTGGACTTCGGGTGGGTCGCGGAAACGGAAACCGAACCCCACAAGCCACGAAAAGGGAAACCGAACCCCACAGACCACGGAAATGGAAACCGCCGAAAGGAATTGTTAAACTGTACAATGGTGTAGGATGGCTGAAAACTTGGAAAAACGGCATGTCAAACCATGTATTTTGGAAGACGAAGTGGTATGTTTTGGAATCTCGATTCTAAACGCTTCAGCTCGTGCTCCCCATCTTTTCGCGGGCCCGAGTGGACGGCGCCGACGCCCACGGCAAGCCCACGGCAAGCCCACGGCAAGCCCTGCGCCACGAGGCGGCGCCCGCCCTGGTGGCCCGAGCGCCCTCCCCCATAGACGGAGGGCCGCGCGTCGGCACCGCCGGCGCGGCGACCCACGGGGGCCCCCTGGAGGCCCCGCGCGCCGAGTGGTGACCGGGCGGGCCCCGGGCCCGGCGATGGGGCCCCCGAGGCCGAAGGCCACGAGGAAGCTCCCTGCTGTTTTTGTCCCTACCTAGGCTCTGCCTAAAAGGGTTCTTACTCTCTTAGCTTACTCTCTTAGCTTACTCTCTTACTCTCTCAGCTTAAAGGGTTCTTACTCTCTTAGCTCAGCTTTAGCTTAGCGTTACTGTTACTACTAATGCTGCTTTCCTAGGGGTTCCAACTCCTAGGTAGGGTCGCACTGGGATAATTTGTTTCAGCACGTGGGAGGTCTGGGCCCCCGCCCCTGAGCCAGAGTTCAGTCGGGCCTGTCCCCCTCCAGGGGGATGTTCGACGAAAGATTAAACAAATACCCCCAAATAGTCAAAACATAATCAAAAAATAGTCTGGGGACGATTTCTTGACTATTTGTTGACCTTCTTGGGGCATTTTTGCGGGTATTTATTTCATTTTTCGTCGAAAACCCCCATGCCATGTAGGGGGACACGCCCGACATAAAGCTAGAGGCCTCCCGGATGGGGTCCGAGGAGATGGGGTCGGAGGGTCGCGCCGCATCGCCGATCGATCGCCGACACATCGCCGATGCATCGACGATGCCGAGCGATCCTCCGACCCCATCCCGCTCCGTATTCATCTGGGAGGCCCAGATGAGCCTGCAGTGGAGGCCCGTCCACAAACGACCTTCCAGAAGAAACCCAACCCTGAGACCCCAGGACGTCCATGGATCTTTGGTGCAGGAACGTCACGCTGTCCATGGCCAAACAAAAATCGAAGCCCAGGAAACCCAGGGCGCCCTGGAGGCAAGCAGGGTGCTTCTTGGCATGGGCCCCCCCCTTTCTCCCGCCCCCTGGCGCTGCCCCCCGGGGGGGGGGGGGAGGCAGCGGTGACGGCCGGCATCTGCCCGAGCGGCGGGCGCCCCAACGGCCCCTCAGCCGGTGACCTGGTGGCCACGGCCGTGCTGGGCGCGGCGGGCTTGTTGCGAGGGGGGGAGGAGGAGAAGGAGGAGGAGGAGGAGGAGGAGGAGGAGGAGGAGGAGGAGGAGGAGGAGGAGGGAGGGCGCGGAGCTCGGCGGGTGCCCGGAGGGGGGAGGCGTCCACGAGCAGGGCCCGCACGGGGTTCGCGGACCACGGCCCGAGGCACCTGCGCGGCCCCGGAGGCGTCCGTGGACGCAGCTGAAGACTAATTTTAGGACGAGGGGCCCCGACGTCCGGGGAGGTAGCACGAGCCTGGCTGTGAGAGCGGAGCTCGATTGGTGCCCAGATGGGGGAGGCGTCCAAGAGCAGGGCCCGCAGGGGTTCGCGGATCGCGGCCCGAGGCACCTGCGCGGCCCTGGAGGCGTCCGTGGACGCAGCTGAAGAGTAATTCGGACGAGGGGCCCTGACGTCCGGGGAGGTAGCACGAGCCTGGCTGTGGTATCCCCCCCTCCCGCAGTCCTCCCCCGCCCTCTGGCCGCCCCAGCTGCGAGGGTGGGGGGGCGCCGAGCTCGCCAAAGAAGGGCGGCCCAGAGCCAGGATCGGGTCGGACAAAGAGGGGGGGTAGTGTTAAGTCGGGCCTGTCCCTCTACAGGGGGAATATTCAAAAACAGTCCAACAATACTCTGGGGACTATGTTTTGAGTATTGTTTGACCTTTCGGGGGCATTTTGGGGGTATTTTTTTGTCGAGAATCCCCCATGTGGGGGGACACGCCCGACAGAAGGGTAGTGGAGAGGGGGGCATCGAATCAGCTCGCGCGGCTGGCTTTCCTGGCGCCTCCCGGCGCCGGGAGGCGTCAATGTGCGGAGGAAAGGCGCCCAGCGGCGGGCCCGACACCAGCTGCACGCAGATGTCGTGTCCCTGGCTCCTCTATCCTACTTTTGTCCGACCCGACAGGACGGGGGGAGGAAGGAGGACGACATCAACTGTGGAGCGTCCCTGGCCCTTTTGGGGCCCTCGCCTCCAAATGCCTCCCCTCGGGAGAGCCACAGCGATGCGAGGGGGGGGGGCTCGGCTCCTTGGGCATGGACGAGGAAGGCAGAAGGAGGAGGAGGAGGAGGAGGAGGAGGAGGAGGAGGAGGGGGAATAGAAGGAGGAGGAGGAGGTGGAGGAGGAGGTGAAGGAGGAGGAGGTGAAGGAGGAGGAGGAGGAGGAGGAGGAGGAGGAGGAGGAGGGACTGGGATCGTGGCAGATCTCTGCCTTGACGTCTGCCCCGGTCTCCGACATCGCGCGAGCCGTTCGACCTTCAACGCTCTCCTTCCTCGGAGGCTCTCGGACCTCGACGCCATCTGTCGTGTGCACTTCGGCGGCGTGGGCTGCCCCTGGAAGGTCCCGGGGCCCCACGCGGGCCCCTGGAGGGTACGGCTGCGCCGGCGTCGTCGAGGCGGCGCGAACCTTCCCAGGGCCACTGTCGCTCAGACTCGATCCCTGGGCCCCTCTGGAATGCCACCTTGACGGCTTTCTTTGGGCTGCGCCTGGCCGCAGCTCGTAACAGCGTAACAGAAACAGCAGCATACACGCACACATACGAATAGAAATATGGAAAACGTTCGCAGCAGCAATCGACGCAATGAGCTCGAGGCGCCGTCACCGCGTCGGGGGAGGAGTGCGGAAAACGGCTGCACGAGCGAGGGAGAAAAGAAAGAGGGAGGAAGGAGGGACGGAGGAGGAACGGAGGGGAGGGGCGGAGGCGGAACCGAGGAATTGGAGAGAAGAGAAGGGGGGAAGAGGACGAGGGAGAAGGTGAAAGGGAAAGAGAAGGAGGAGGAGGAGGAGGAGGAGGAGGAGGAGGAGGAGGAGGAGGAGGAGGAGGAGGAGGAGGAGGAGGAGGAGGAGGAGGAGGAGGGAGGTACAGAGGAGCAGGAGGAGAGAGGGAGGCAGGAGGGAGGAATGAGAACCGAGGCGGCAGCAAGGAGGAGAGAAAAAGAGAGGTGGAGAGATGGAGGAAGGTGAACGAGCGAGGAGGGATGCAGGGAGGAAAGCAGGGAGGAGGGAGAAGGAGAGGGGGAAGGAGGGGAGAGGATGGAGAAGAAAGGTGATCGGCGGGAGAAGCTAGGAGGGAGAAGGAATGAGCGTGGAGGAGGGAGGAGGGGAGGAGAGGGGAAGTAGAGGGAATGGGAGGGGGGAAGGAGGTGGCATAGGGATGGAGGAGGATGAGGAGGAGGAGGAGGAGGAGGAGGAGGAGGGAGGGAGGGAGGGAGGGAGGGAGGGAGAAGGAGAAGGAGGGAGAAGGAGGGAGGAGGGAGGAGGGACGAGGGAGGAGGGGGCAAGGGCGGACGAAAGGGCAGATGAAGAGGAATGGGTGGTCAGCATGCCTTCGCGTAGGAGTGTGAATTGATGAGGGCCTCGAGACGGCTCTGGAAGGTTCCAAGATGGGCCAAGATAGCTCCAAGTCGGCCCAAGATGGATCCAACATGGCCCAAGAGATCCCCAATACGCCCCAAGCCGAAAATGCTCCAAGAGGACCCCCAAGAGGGCCCTCAGAGGCAAAACATAAGCTGTCCACATGTGTCTGACTGACGTGTGTATTCTCGCATTCTCGGGCTTCCGAACACTCCAAGGCAGTCCCAGCGGCCTCTAAGATGGCCCCAAGACGGCCGAAAAAGCCCCCCAAAAGGTCCCCAGGACGGCCCACGAGGGCACCAAGGTGCCTCAAGAGGTCCCAAAGACAGCCCCAGGGCGGCCGAAGTCAGTCCTCAAGACGGCCCTGGAGGGCCCCAAGACGGCCCTCGAGGGCCCCGAGAGGGCTCTCGAGGGCCCCAAGAGGGCTCTGGCGCCCCTTTTTCCCCCCCTGCGGCCTGCGGTGCAGCAGTGGGCGGGGGAGGTGCAGCGGGAGACGGCGCCCACGTCCTGCCGATCGCTGCCCCCAGTGCAGCACGGGGCGGGGAAGTGCCGCGGGAGACGGCGCGCCCCCCCGCTTCCACCCCTTGCGGCCTCCGGGGCAGCAGAGGACGGGGAAGTGCAGCGGGGGAGGCGTCCCCCCTTGTTCCCCTTCGCGGCCTGCGGCGCCGCAGAGGGCAGGGGGGGGGCGGCTGCCGCGCTGCCGGGGCGCCGCCACCCCTCCGAACGTTTAGCCTGGTCTCAAGGAGGCTCTCGGCTGGCTGCTGGATGTCTTCGGAGGGAGGCCGGCAGAGGAGGAGAGAGAGAGAAGGAGAGGGAGGAAGGAGGGGCAGGAGAGGGGAGGGAGGGAGGGCGGGGACGGACTCAGAGACTCAGGGACCGTGAGCAGCGTGTCCGCGACTGTTACGGCTTGTCGCAAGGCAGGGCTCGGGGTCTCAGGGACTGCGAGGGCGGAGATGGAGGAGGGAGGGAGGTCTCCGGAGAGCACTGAAAACGATCAAACATCTCGATCCACGAACCCTCGAAGAGCATGAGCAGGAGGAGGAGGAGGACGACGAATAAAGAGATGAAGGGAGGGCGGGGAGGGAAGGAGGGAGCAAGACGGGGAGGGAGGGAGGGAGGGAGGAAGGTCTCCAGAGGCCCCCAGAGAAACGCCCAACACACCAACCCAAACTACTCAACGCCCGAACCCTCGAAGAGCATGAGGAGGAAGAGGAGGAAGACAAGGAGGAACAGGAGGAGGAGAGGGAGGGGGAGGAGGAGGAGGAGGAGGAGGAGGAGGAGGAGGGGGAGGATGGGGGGGCGACGACGACTGCGGCGACGACGTTCAACGAGAAAAGGGCGTCCTTGTCGGTGCACACCACGTCGTTCGGCGCGTTCTGCGCCTGCGCGCAGGAGTACTCCAGGCTGTCCATGAGCTGGAGGAAGGACGTGTCCTGGCCCTGCAACAGAAGGAGGACGGGAGGAGGAGGAGAAGGAGGAGGAGGAGGACCAGGAGGAGAAGAGGAGGAGGAGGACGAAGAGGAGGAGGAGGAGGAAGAAGAGGAGGAGGAAGAGAAAGGAAGCATCCCGATCGTCATCAAAAACGGCATCATCATCGCCCTCTTCCGCACTGATGCCTCCCTCCTCCTTCCTCCTCTTCCTCCTCCTCCTTCTCCTCCCTCATCCCTCCTCCTGCTCCTCCTCCTCCTCCTCCTCCTGCTCGTCCTCCTCCTCCTTCTCCTCCTCTTCCTCCTCCTCCTTCTCCTCCTCCTCAGCCTCCTCATCCCTCATCCCTCATCCCTCTTCCTCCTCGTCCTCCTCCTCATCCTCTTCCTCCTCCTCCTCCTCAGCCTCCTCCTCCTCCTCCTCCTCCTCTCCTGGTCCTCCTCCTCCTCCTTCTCCTCCTCCTCCTCCTCGTCCTCGTCCTCGAACTCGTCCTCCTCCTCCTTCCTCCTCCTTCCTCCTCCCTCTCCTCCTCCTCGTCCTCCTCCTCCTCCTCCTCGTCCTCCTCCTTCTCCTCCTCCTTGCGGATGTGGAGAGGTTGCGAGAACAGCTGGTGCAGGCTGGGATTGCGCTCGAGGATGACGCCAGCGACGACGGTATCCGATAGGCTGCGAATCGATTGTATGCTTTGCGGTCGGGGTCGACGAATACGTTCTGCCCTTCCTAGTATTGTTGCCAAGCCTGTTTTCGGCAAGATGATGATGAGTAGTCTTGGTAAAATGGCAAGATCTACTCGAGATGGCAGTGGTTGCAGTTTGCCTCGACATGAAGAAGGTGAGTTGCGACATGGACAACATCATGGGTTGTCGTCAGAGCATGGTGGGAAGGATAATGGACTGGTACTCAGAGTGTTCCTCAGGTCTCCAAGCTGCTGGCCAATCCAACCCGCCTGATGCGACTAAGAAGGTCGTCCCTCATCCCCATGCGGCGAAACACGCGGCTAAGAAAAACATTGGTCAAGATCATTCCGAGGGAGTTGGCAGCAGCTTGAAGGCTAAAGGTCACGTCACTACCATTAATGTTGACAATACTGGCCCGCTTCTCAAGTACATGGAAGAGCGTCGCCCGGCCACTGTTACGGTCCAGGAGCACAAGGCGGACGATGCAGCACTCCCTGGTCTACAATATGCGCTAATTGATTTGGGCCACCATGGTATATTTGCGCCAGCCATACGTACTGCACAGCAAGGTATTTAGTCTGGAGTGGAGGTGTTGGCTCCCACATAGATCAGCCTCCGCTGCTTGCGAATCCTGTCCTACATAAAGGGCGACTCGCAGCAGCAAAGACATCATGGCGGATGGCTGGTGGTCTGGTAGCTATATCTGCGAATTGCAAGGATTCTGTTGGCTTGGATGACTTGAATCCAGATATACTGTGCAATCTGGTATGTTATTTGGGTCGCCTCAGTGACTTGGGCATATGCTGGATCGTTGGAGGTGATTGGAATATGACAGCGGGTACTTTTGGTGGGCAGGCATGGCTGGATCATTTGAGGGCTGTATTTATTATACCTTCTGATATCACCTGGCGCACTACGAATGCAACGGAAGGGTCCATGTATGAAAATTAAGTGGTATCGGCCAAGACGGCAACTAAGCAAATGGCTCCACAAGTTGACGCTGCGTCGGTGCTACCTGTCCATGCTCACATTCATCTACCTGTGCTGCAAGGGCACAATGAATGCTGAACGAGGATACCGCTTGAGCCGAAGCAAGCGCCGAAAGAACCCGACATCAGATGCACACGACCGCAAGTGCCATGGCATGACGCACTGGATATTGTATTTATGCCACGGACGAGCCTGGGTTGCGACATGCATGGGACGTGGTTGTTGCTGGATTGGAGATTGAAGTACTTGGGCGATCGGATATTGATGATACGGGTGCCCAACCATACAAAGGCCGAGGTGGTCCGATACGTACCTAGATGGTGGAAGTTAATTGAGATATTAAGCGCCGCAGGTTGCAGGGGGCCTCTCGCCAAAGCGTGGATCACGGCGGCGAAGTGGGCCAAACACATCATGAGGGTGAGGGCGTATTGGGCCAAGTTGATCAACCAATACCTGGAGCAACATGGGCACAGGAAGACGAGTGGGTCATTGCGCCTACCCGATTACATGGCGCCCTGGACGGCCAGGAATGTGGACGACACATTTCAGGATCACGGTTGGAAGGAAGTCCGGCGCCGACGTGGGCATCAGGTGCAACAGACAACGGGTACATCGCACAAAGATCCCGCTCATCGACTGGCTGTCGCTTCAAGACCTGATGGGCTTCTTCGGGTGTGTCCAGGCGACCGCTCATATTATGCAGCTTATCGTCGAGGTTACGCGCAAGTTTACAGGCTGGATGCACGCACGCCACCACATTGCTTACCGTACTCACGTATCGTGCTATACACCGTGGCAGCACGCAACACAGCAAAGTCATACCACGTGCACTTGATGACGATATTACGTTTCAATGGATTGGCTCTGACCTGCGAGAAGCAAGGGAGCTATACCGTGCGGTACATGATTGCGCAATGAGAATGCGAAAGCTTGGCCTGCTCATCAAACCTGGGGGGTCGGCTGGCTGGCCACTACTAAGCGTGTTACTTCATCTGTTCGTAGCATTGCGAGGCAACTCAACCTTAGAGCTGAGAAACGGATGCGAAACCTCGGTCATGAGATGCTTTCGGTTCGACCCGCTCGGCAATACGCCCAGGTTCGACTCGACAAACTTCGCGATCGTCTGCCTCGGCTGCGCACGCTAAAGAGCGCTGCAGCTGGGCAGTCAAGCTCCTACCTGCAGTGTCGCTTGTGGTGACGGGCCTCTCGAGATTTGCTCAGGAGGGTTGTTCGTGGGCAGCTGTACATGCGGACGCCCAATCACAGTATGCCGACCTCTGGCGTGCTGTATTCAATCCGCCGACCCTGTCGACGTGTGCGAGGGGCTTGGCTGTTCGAGTCGTCGTCTCCGTCGGTCGTCGCCTCCGTCGTCCCCTTTCCCTGCAGCTTCCTTCTCAAGCTCGTGAGCGAGAGAAAAATCGAGCAGTGTCGAAATCGAGTCGAAGGGAAGCCCCTTCCCTTCGATCCCTTCCCCGGGGGGAGGGGGGGGGGGGGGGGGGTCCCGGGGGGGGTCCCGGGGGGGGTCCCGGGGGGGGTGGGGGGGCAGATTCGTTTTCCTCGGGCGGCCTAGAAACCTCGAAAACACTCCAAATGAGGTCCGAATGCCCAAGATGGCCCCCGAGACGGCCCAAGAGGGCCCCGAGTCGCCCAAAGATCGGCCGAAAACGCCCAAGATAGCCCCAAGACCGTCCAAGAAGCCTCCAAGACGTCCCAGGCCCCCTCCAAGAGACCCCCAGGAAGCCCCAAGAGGCCCCCACGAGGCTTCCAAGCGGCCCCTAAGAGCTTCTCAACAGGCCCACAAACTACTCCCAAGAGGCCCCCAAGAGCGCTCGTCGTCGTCGTCGTCGTCGTCGTCGTCGTCGCCATTCAGGGTCGGCGGCACCGGCCGTAAGGCCTTCGCAACATGTTGGAAAAGCGACAACCACCCCGCTTTCATTGGTGCCCTGCCCACAAGACCGAGGCAGAGTTCCTTGAAATGGATCGGCATCTTTGGGAGTAGTTTCTGGGCAACGGGTGGGCCGATTATTTCGCCAAGGCAGGTGCTTCAGCCCATGCTGTGTCCAGTAGTTTGGTGATGTCGTGTGAGGGTATGCTTCGGGACGCTCGGGCGGAGGCTAAGTTCATGCCATGGTGTGCGTGTCAGATGGCTCATCGTGATGCTCTGGGTGATGGGCCCGCGCGTGCTGTGCATGTTCAGGCCCCCATGACCCCTCTAGCGCTCACGGGGCACTGTGTGGCGATCAGGGGCCCCCTGTTCCAATGTAAAGAATGTTGGGCTGTTGATAGGACCCCAGCGAGCCTCAACAAGATGCTATTGACCGAAGGTGTGCCCACGGCCCAAAGAGAGACTGAGGGTGCACGGGGACCTCCAACTCCAACGGGCCCCTCCGCTACGTACGTACCCGTACAGTTCAGGCTGCGTTAGATTTCTCTGACGAGTTCCTTGGCGGCGAGGGTTCCGATCAAGCGAATCTGGGGCCCGAGGGCGTCGGTGTGCTGCTCGATGAAGCCATTGTCGAGCTCAACGGGCACCAGGTGCTGGTGACCCGTGGCGCGCTGGTGTGTACACTGTGCGGCTCCTATCAAGTGTCCTTTGGCCAGGTTGCCAACTGCACGCTCAGTAATGACGTAATGACCAGTGCCTAGGACCCTCTGAACACCCCCCAGCCCGCAGCAGGCAGAAGTATAGTGTCTCTCGTGGGTTGGCAAGCATCCCAAGACTGGGGTGCCATTGGAGGTTGTTCCATATTTTTGTCGCCACGCTTCGCGTCGGCATGGCCTGGCCCGTCCTGGTGCGAGCTTGGCCCAATGTTGGCCCGTGCTCCCGTCCGCGGTTGCACGACTCGGTCGCCTGGTCCTCCTCCTCCTTCTCCTCCTCCTCCTCCTCTTCCTCCTCCTCCTCCTCCTCCTCCTCCTCCTCCTCCTCCTCCTCCTCCTCCTCCTCCTCCCCCTCCTCCTCCTCCTCCTCGTTCCCTCCTCCTCCACTCCCCTCCCCCTCCCCTCCCGTCCCCCCCCTCCCCTTCCTTTCCCTCCTCCCCTTCCCCGTACCCCTCTGCCTGCCCCCCTCCCCCCCCCCCAAGCCCGGGCAGCGAGGCGCAAGGCACGGCTGCCTTCGCGCCCCCCGCGAGGTGACTTGGAGAACTGGCGGGATGATGGGGAAGGGGGGCCACTGCAAGCCGGCGGCGCGCAGAGGGGGGTCAGGAGGAGGAGGAGGAGGAGGAGGAGGAGGAGGAGCTGGAGGAGGAGGAGGAGGAGGAGGAGGAGGAGGAGGAGGAGAAGGAGGAGATGGAGGAGGAGGAGATGGAGGAGGAGGAGGAGGAGGAGGAGGAGGAGGAGGAGGAGGAGGAGGAGGAGGAGGAGGAGGAGGAGGAGGAGCTGGAGGAGAAAGGGGCCTTGGCTGTGCCAGGAGGGCGCCCGCTGTACGCCTGCACCCGCACTGCAGGTCCCGGGCCCCGGATCGGTGTGTGCGCCCTCTGGCCTGGCCAGGGAGGCCGCACACACCCTGATCCTGGACCCAGGATTGGTCTGGCCATGATCGGTGTAGGCGTGAAGGTGCCGCCCTCCGATGGGCGGCGAAAGAGACAGAGGGACAGAGGAAGCTTGGGGAGGACTTCGGGACGGAGGAGAGGGCGGAGTGGAGCCAGAGAGGCGTCAAAAGGAGGCGGAGGAGAAGGAGCAGCAGCAGCAGCAGCAGCAGCAGCAGCAGCAGCAGCATCGGGCGCAAAGGAGGGTGATCAGCAGCGGCAGCATGAACAGCAGGAGCGGGAGAACGAGGAGCGGAAGGAAGGGCGAGGGGAAGGATGAGGAGGAGGAAGAGGAGGAGGAAGAGGAGGAGGAGGAGGAGGAAGAGGAGGAGGAGGAGGAGGAGCTGCAGCAACAACTGGTGAAATGTGAGCTAACTGCTAAATATCGGTGGCGTGGCACAAGCACGATCAAACATACTCATGAGGAGGAGGAGGAGGAGGAGGAGGAGGAGGAGGAGGAGGAGGAAGAAGCGAAGGATGAGTCAGAGAAAAAGGAGGTGCCGTGGGAACAAGGGGAAAGGGACCGATCAAGGACCGAGGGGGCAGGGGGATGGGGTGGAATCGAAGGGGGAGAGGAGAGGGAGGGTGGGAAGGAGAAGGAGAGAGGACCAGGATGGCGAGGATGACGAACAGCAACAAGAGCAGAAGGAAACGAGGCAGGACGACGAGGAAAAGAGGTGGACAATACGACACTTGATCGAAGAGCGCTGGGAAGCGCGAGAGGAAAGAGAGAAAGAGGGCGAGACGAGATGGGAGAGCGGCCATGGGCCAACCAATCTAGGCACGTCGTGATTGGCAATCCGCCGACCCCCGCTTGCTGGGGGTGAAGATTGGCTCTCCTCCTCCTCCTCCTCCTCCTCCTCCTCCTGATCCCCTTCCCAGGGGTCCCAAGTTCCGTCTGGGAGAGGGGGAGGCGCGTGAGCTCATCAAGGCCCGTCTGAGCCCTCAGAATCTTCAAATCCAGTATCTTGTGCCTCCAAGGTGCCCTAGATGCCCTCCGAGACGACTCAAGAAGGGCTCCAACACGCTCGACAAGCGTCAACGAAGATTCAGGAGACCCTCCACGACCTCAAGAAAGCCCAACAAGGTGCCAGGGGGGAGCCCAGACGCCCAGCACGATCAGAAAGCCTGAGATGGTGCTCCAATGCTTGCTGCAATCTCGCCTCATCGCTTCTGTCGTGCTCCAACGATGGCCCCGGACACTCCGCGCTGGCCTTATGTCCAAGACGGTCCAAAAATGGCCCCCGGCCGGACTAAGATGAAGGGGCCCTGGGACACACAAATAAATACACACAAATAAATACAAATCCCCATATTTCCCATATATTTTCTGAGCTTTTGTCTTCCCCCCCACTTCCCATAGTTTCTCCTATTTTTCCCTGGGGATCGTCGGTTCATCGTGTCCGTGTTTCCTTCCCTCCTGATAAGACTGCTACGGGACGGCCCAGCGGGGGGGCCAGGGACGTAATGAAATAAGAGGAGGCGCCATGAGATCTGGGGAAATATCATGGCCCCCGCCATGATATCCACCCCCCCCTAGTCATCACCCCCTCTTTTCCGCCCCCGACTTATGTCCAAGACGGTCCAAAAATGGTCCCCGGCCGGACTAAGACTGCTCCGGGACGGCCCCAGGACTCCCGCGCACGGCCCCGGGGGCCCTCCGGAAGGAGGCCGCCCCCCGGGGGACCCCCCGCGGGGACTCTCCAAGAGGCCCCCGAGGAGAGCCCCCACCAGAGCCCCAGACGCTGGGCATCGCTCGGACGTCCACTCCATGTGTTTTTTGTTCGGTTTCGTGCGTGGCTTTTTCGCCAAGTGGTCAAGCATGCTCCTCGATGGTCCTCGCCGAAGGACACATGCACACGTCCGAGCGAGGCCAAGCGGAGCCCCAGACGATGACCACGAGATGCGGAGGCGGAGGCGGCTGCAGCAGTGCAGGGGTCGCCCGCGCCCGGGCCCCCTGGAGGGCTGCCGGGCTCGCTGAGAAGCACAGGTGGCGTCCGTGCGAGAGGAAGCGAACAACTGCGTGGCATGCTGGCCGACCCCTACGAGCAGGGCCGGGCCCGTGACGGCGAACTTGGCAGTGTGAAGCAGCAGGGTGAAACTGCAGACCTGTTGCACAACGACGACAACGACGCCAAGCCTAAGCGTTCGGTCACAAGCGTGGGAGACTTGTGGGACAATGCCAGCACTGTCGCAGTCCGAACGCTTCAAAAACCCTGAGGACGTGTTCGGGCCGAGCCGAGGTGCCCGAGGTGGCATCCACAACGCTCCCAACTTGCCAAAAGTCAGCTCTTTGATGCCCGAGCAGCCTCCCTACAAAGCCCCCTAAATGGGAAACTCATGCAAAGTCCGTCGTCGCGGGGTTTCTCCTCTGGGCTCCGGCGGCATGGCGGAAGCCTTCTCAAGAAACTCCGGCAGGCCTCGCGGCGCCCACGACGGCCACACGGCGAACGGCTCGCTCACGTGCTGCCCGGATGGGTATCGCCAAGCGGTGCCGCTTGCCTCCCGTGGATCCAGCCAGCACCCGCCGAACAATAGAGTGTTCACCCCGCCTCCGCGGACCTGAGCGCGCTCTCTGCGGGCTGCCGCCAGGAGAGGACCCCCTAAGGCCCCCTGGCCGATGATCCCCCTCTGGGCCTGGCTGGGGTGCGGATCTCGCAACTCCGGGATCCGCGGCCCTGTTGCAAAATCGAATTGGGCAATCGACCATGGTGTAATATAGGACGCGCCTCGGCACTGACCCGCGCATTCTGGACTTTCGCGGACGGACGAGCGGGCGCCCAGTATCCAGTCCTCTGTAAGCGCGGCGTGAAACCAGTTGGAAAATACATGTGAGGGAGGAGCAAGAGGAGAAGCAGCAGCAGGAACAGCACCAATAAGAGCGATCGCAACAGGGGCAGGTACCAAGCCGGACCAGCTGCGCAGGAAGGGCAACGATGGGGAGCGGAAGCGCATGATGATGGCTTGACGATGCGAATGATGATGATGCCAAAGGGGGCAAGGAGCAGCGGTGCAATAATCAGAAAAGGCTACGATGAGGAGCGCATCCCTCAACACGCGCATCCCTCAAAAATCGCCCCCTCTGAAATTACGCCCCAGCGCTCTGTTCGTTCTCTAGTTAAGATGGCCTCCAAGACGGCTCCCAAGACAGCCAATATTACACCACAAGACGGCCTCAAGACAGCGCAAGAGGCCCTCCCAGAGAGCCCAAGGAGGCCAAGACCGTTGCTTTCCCTGCTGTGTTGATTGATTTGAGGCTCTCGTTTGTTTGGGTTTCCGACCGCCCAAGACGGCCCAAGAGGCCTCCGATATAGCTCCAGGGCAGCCCAAGAGGCAAGATGGCCCCAAGTCGGCCCCAGAGGACCCAAAGATCGCCCGAGGGCCTCTCAACAGGGCCCAAAGACGGCCCTACAGCGCTCCAAGAGAGCACCACGACGGCTCAGGGAGGCTCCCAAGACGGCCTCCGAAGGCGTCAGAAGGGCGGAGGGCCCCCCCCTCAGTCGGCCCAAGAAGCCCCAAGAGGCCCCCCCAGGGGCACCAGGAGGCCCCCCAAAAGGGCCCCAGGGAGGCCCCAAAGAGATCCCCAAGAAGCCTTTTCCTCCTCGTCCTCTTTCTTTCCCCTTCCTCCATCTCCTCCTCCTCCTCCTCCTCCCTCCTCCTCCTCCTCCTCCTCCTCCTCCTCCTCCTCTCCTCCTCCTCCTCCTCCTCCTCCTCCTCCTCCTCCTCCTCCTCCTCCTCCTCCTCCTCCTCCTCCTCCATCCCTCCTCCTCCTAAATCGAGTCCTCCCTGTCGCATCCACAGACGTGTCGGCAGGGCGGGCCGGGCGCTCCGCCCGAGACTTCCAGGCCTGGAAACTTTCTGCAGCAGCTCCACGGAGGCGGGGCGGGCCGTCTTGCAAACCGTGGCTCTCACATTGGCGCGCCCTTGCAGGGCAATGTTTAATACATTGGATTGTTATATATAGAGGATATTTAATACATAAGTGATCTGATGTTAATACATAAAAGATGGGATACATGATCGGATTTTTTGGAAATGAGATATAGGATTTTTAGAAATAAGAAATAAAGGAGCTTTACTGCATGATTCATGTATGAATAAGTCTATGCATTAACTCATCCTTGTTTTCTATACTAGATCCCTGCATTTTTTGTGGATGATCCGCACGCGGAGCATGTACTAAAAACGGCACTGTGCATTCGTTGTGAAGGTTTGCAGCCAGTGTTCCCGATGGAGGGCGGGCCGTTTTCAGAATGTGGCTCTCGCCCTAGCGCCGGGCACATCGTTATAGAGAAGTCTGCAGCACTTTCACGGCTGGAGGGACGGTCGTTCTCCAAAGGTAGTTCTCGCCTTAGTACTGCGCGCATTCCGTCTTGAACGTTCGCAGCAGTTTCTCTGACGAAGGGCGGTTCTTGATCAACATGTTGTCAACATTTGGCTCTCGCCTTGGCGCCGCGCTGACTCGTTCTGAAAGGGTGACAGCTTCGAGGATTCGCATGGCCGAAATCCCAATTATGGTGTTCTGGCAGGGGTTTGGATTGTCAGATCGCGACAACCATGTTGATTCGAAATGCTGAAGCCGCAGGAATGGTGTTCTGGTGCGGCTCAGGACTGACAGGACGCAACAGTCGCGTTGACTCGCGACGCTGAAGTTCCAGGAATGGCATTTTGGTGCGATGGAGGATTCTCAGACGTTTGTTTTTCCAATGGGGTATTCCACGCAGTGAAAGTACATTCTTGTAGGGCCCTGTGAAAGGGGGAGCTTGGAGGGAGGGTGTATTGCAACATCGCTGATGCGTCTTACGTGTAAACTGGCCCTCCTCCACCTCCCTACCGCGCAGACGAGGACAATGTCGAGATCACGACCCTCCCCAGTTCAGACAACGCGCTGAACTGCCGCGGGGTGTGAACTCGACCACCTTCCTACCGCGCGGACAAAGCCGAGGTTGAGTTCACGACCCGCCCTTCTCAGACCTCGTGCCGAAATTGCGGTGTTCCTGCACCTAGCCTGCTGCGCTGTTGTACAGGCAGGGTGGTCAGGCTTGCCGCAGGCACCTGGAGAAACTTTTAGGTCAGCGCGGAGTTCGCAGATCGGCGCTGGTGCCTGACTACCTACCAGACCACCCCAACCCAACCCGAAGACCCGAATTTCGGGTTGGGGGGGGTAATGGTTCCACGCGTGTTTTTTCTATGTTCCCCGACCCCCCCCCACTGGAAATCGACGGTAAATTTGAGCCTTCGGGTTGGGTTGGGGTGGTTTGGTGGGTGGTGAGTGCTCCCTCCCTGGTGCGCCAGACATCCGCGCGGAGCTCCGCAAGCGCTTCTGCACGCCATTCATCTTCTTCGAGAGGAGGGAGAGGAGGCAGGGCAAGACAGAAGCCATGTGGAGGTGGGACGGGAGGGCGAGGACGACCAGGTGATGATGTGCTGCGCAGAGCGCCGAGCTGCCATCACAGGGGCAGATAACGGAGACGCGTCACTTGCGGCCGGCGGGAGGCCCCCCCTGGCACCCAGGCGGCCACAGCCCACGCGACGAGCGACGAGCGGGGACGACGACGACGACGAAGACAACGACGACGACGACAACGACGGCGACGACGGCGACGGCAATGGCAACGGCGACGGCGACGACGACGGCGACGGGGGCGACGACGACGACGACGGCGACGACGACGGCAACGACGGCGACAAAGGCGACGACAAAGGCGACTGCGACGGTGACGACGGCGACGACTTGTGCTGGGCCTCCTCGTCTTCGTTCTCCTCGTGCTCGCCCTCATCCTCGGCATCCTGGCTCGTGCCTTCGCCCTCGTCCTTGACCCTCTCCTCTCCCCCCTCCCCCTTCTGCCACTACTACTCCTCCTACTACAGTCGGGGGGGGGTTATTGTTGCTAGTAGGCATTCCACGCACGCGAACAGGGCGGCCCAGGGGCTATCGTCGTGCTCCTGTGGTCGCTGCGTCCTTTGCCCGTTCGGCTCCGTCGGCGCGCAGTGGCGGCGCCTCTTGACAGCGCACCATGCCCAGTGGCCTGGCAAATCAGCGCACGCGCGCGCGCACCCGCGTCCACCCAGTCGTACGAGGCCGATGTGGCATCACAGCAGCAATTCGGCCCCTGACTTTCGCCCTGGGTTCGGTTTCGTGAAGTGATCCATTTCGGGGTCCTGCGGTGGGGAAAAACGTCACTTCACTAATCTGGGGCCCCATGGGGCCTCAGTGGGCCCTGGGGCCCAAAATTGGTGAAGCGATGGTTTTCGGGCCTCGGAAGTCGCCCCGAACCACCCTTCTTGGCGTCGTGGCCCCGCGCGCGGCGACAGGTCGGGGAAGCGTCGAGGCAGCGCGGCGCGCACGCGCGCCTCGAGCGGCCGAGCCCTCGAGCCGCTCGCGAGCAAGCCGCGCCGGCAGCCGACCACACGCGCCCCGAACTACCCACCCATCGGGACGCTCAAGGACATGCTAGTACTATACAGTCGGGGCCTGGACCTAAGGAACCCAAAATGAGGAACGAGGCCCCTCTTTTCCATGAGTTGAACTTCGATTCCCGATCGAAAGCATGAGGAGAACCCGAGGCAAGCTGCGAAACACTCAAGGAACGCGGAGCCCCTCCCCAACGAACAGGGTCCCTTCTTCAGGGCCCCGACCGTACTATATGTCCTTCTCGGAGGCGCGGACCTGACCCGAATAGATGGCACAACCATCTCGAGGCACATCGGCCCCCGAGCGGCACGACCAAGCATCGCTCGCCACGGAGCTTGAACCACAACGAACTCTCGGCGCACGCGTCGCCCCTGCGGGGGCGGCGCGCACAGCATCAGCATGCCGGGGGGGCGCCGAACCCACGCACGCCAACACCGCTCGAGAGCGCGGCGTGGGCACCGTGCTGACACCCCCGCCCCCCGACCTCTTCGCTCCCCACCGCGCATGCCGACTTGTGCTTCTGCCGGGCTCGAGCTGAACAATGCTTCTTGTTTTCGAGTTGCGCTCGCTCTCCGTCGCTCTGTCCTCGTTCTGCCGCTGCTGCGAGACGACATCGAAACGAAAGCGCTCCGCGAAGTCGCCAAGACACGGTTTAGCTCGAGCACTGCGCTTCTGGGAACCTTGGCGTGGGTGTCGCTCCAGCGCCAATTCTCGATCGAGGGAGGGCGCGCCAGCAGCACCATGCCGAGAACAGCAGGTGCGCTCCTGCACGGTGCTGTATCCCGATCGCGGGCGCTCTGGCAGCCCACGGCGTGCGCTTCAGCATCAACTTTCTATCGAGCGAGCAGTACATCGCACGCACGCCGAAGACTTCTCTCCTCGCGCTACATCCACATGTTTCGATGCTCGCCGTTCTCACGACGAGCCAAATGACAAGCCATCGCGAAGAATATGACCACGATGCGAGTCAAAGAGTCACCAAGCAAAGCCCGGTACGCCACACAAGCCAACCTGCAATAAGCAAACTCAAGCATAGAACCCTTGGCCTGGGATGGACACATGGGAAGCCACCAAAACGACACCAATAGTCACCCGGAACAATTATTGCCTGGGCAATTTCCAT